TGACGGAAGCCTTCCAAGAGGAAAATTAGGATTCTGGCGGGATACCACTTCCAACGACCGCCTGCTCCCGAAGGAAGTAACGCTTGCGCCTCGGGTTCTTGTGGTTCCGTATTTACCTTTCGCAGCGTGTTGGTGCACTGGGAGTACCAGTTTCCTCGCCATTGGTCCATTGATTTAACGGAGCAGTCGAAGGTTTTCCCGTATTCAATTATAACGAGAAGGATGCGTATTGTGTCCGATACTTTGCCGAAATCATCGAAAATGCTTCCCAGCTCACGACCACACCACCGGTGCGAAGCGGTGAGGATCAGACTATTCCCGTCATCTTTCCAGTGTGTTGGCCGCTTCTCGGCCACTGCGGTCGGCTACGCGGCCGCTGCTCTGCTGATTGATCAATGTAGTACCAGCCCATTCGACAGTACATGACCGAAGGGGATTACCGCTTGGAGGCGGAGGTTTTCGGAGGCGAAGGCTTTTACCGCAGACACCCAGAAATTTACCAGACGTACGAGCAGAATTTCAGTGACGGCGGACACCGCGTGGACGGGTATCCATATTTTACCCAGTTTGATCCCCGGGAGGACCGGAAGGATCTGAGCGGCTATGAGCTGTTGTTTCAACTGGATACCGATGACGATCATGACATTATGCGGGGTGACGCGGGCGTAGGGAATTTCTTTATTCATCCAAAGGACCTGGAGAAACGGGATTTCTCTCAAGTCTTTTTTCATTGGGACTGCAGTTAAGCTGCTGTCAGTGGAGTCCTCTACGCATGGAGTCCTATGTGACACGTTCCGTGAAAGTGCAATAATCCAATGCTTGTGCAGTACTGTAGTAGAACTACCTCTCTCTACAAAATTTTAATAAAAGCTGACTTAAGAAGTGAGCGGCAGCAACGAGCATGAGCGTAGGCAGTACAGCAGCGGTTTAAACGATAAACATCGTAAACTTATTTCCAAAAATTCGTTCAGATAAATTACAATGATTGTGCACAGTCCCCGCTCATGTTAATTGGGACAAATTCTTCATTTGATCATATATATTTTGTTGAGTGAAGCTCGCTCGCCCTTATACATATTGAGAAACAAATCATACTACAATTACAATGACATACACAGCACACGTACAAAATGTCATACATCCTCAACGAGTCAGTCGTAACCGTTTTTGTTGTCTCCAGCCTGGTAATATTATGCACATGCGCAGATATACGATGAAAAGTTAGATTTATAACGTTATAACGTTCCGATGAGAAGTTAGTTAATTTATAACTTTCTTAACTACATATGCACTAAATCTACATAGGCCGAACACGTTGAATTCAAAGGCAAAAACGTCCGGAGCACTAGAATAGGATCCGGATTGACGCTGACGCAACGCGCTTCAACCCGGATCTTGAACAAAAGAACTTCAAACAATTCTAGGCCGAATCCCCCATGATACCCGTTCCGGGGCCTGTCAAGTTCGAAATGGTCGAGCGGCAAGTAGATACAATTTTTCATCAGCCAAATACATACAATTTTCTTCTGATTGGGCCGATGATGAACCGAACATCGGTTGCAATCATTGGACTAAACCGGCGGACAATCGCCGGCCGGATGGTCTGTCACAGCTGCCATGGAGAAAAGGATTACGACTGGCTTGGGATGTGACACGCGTCGACATAGTTGCCTTGTCTATCGTTGTCAGCGGCAATATACAAGTTGGTGAGGCTGTCAGGAAAGTGGAAGAGGAAAAATGTAGCAAATATGAATATTTGGCAACCGAGTACGATTTTGTCGCTTTAGCTTCTGAGACTTTTGGTGATATCGGTCCAGCAAGTTTGAAGTTTTTACGTGAGCGGGTAGACGCCTAAAGGATGCTACTGTGGAACGACGATCATACGAGTTCTTGCTGCAGCGTCTTACCATGGAAATACAGCGCGGAAATGCATTGTCGGTTACATCAACGATACCACGTTCTGATGGTTTAAATGCTTTTTACTTTGTTTTGTGATCTGTTTTTTGTAGATGATGCTAGGATATAACCAAACCAATAAATATGGACAACAGATCATTGAAGCATTGCGAAGCCATGGTAAAAGTGCTTAAGCACACAAACGGAGAAGTAATTCTATATAAACTTTATCCATCCAGCTACAAGGGGCAAGCCGAGCCATCTGTAAAGTGAAGTATATGCAGCGCACAAAACTTTTCAAGGGTGTAGAGTTGTTTCCAATGAGCGGCCTTGAACTTGTTAACTTACACAGCAATCAAATCAGCAACGGCTGTGCCGATCATATAATGACATGCCGATGTCTTCCACTTACCAGGCACGCGTCACCGGCTCCCCTCTCAGAAAAATTTCATTTTTTGCAGGATGACGGAGTAAGAATAAAGTATCCCTAAAAAAACAGTTTCATCTGCTATGATCAACATGGAGGCGCCAAACACAATTAAAAAGTTAAAGATTCGCTATGTTATAGTCAATGCATTGCTTTGTACGCTACTTTAAGTAGGTATTTATACGATTTAATACGACCCATATGGCAATGAGCCACTTCGTACGCTTTTGTATGAGGTTTATGTTGGCTTAAAATTCTATGTTTACCCATTTCTAGTAAATGGCAATTTTTTATTTTTATAGAGACAGATCGGTCTTACTTCGGTTTTCGTGCAAGAAGTATTTTTGTTAAAAACTGAAATCAATGTGAGCACATGCAGATTCATTCTTAAAAAATAAGTTAACTTATATCACCTACAAAGTACAAACCACCTTCAGAAACAAAAGCGGTTAACAACAATATGGAACAAACAGTCACAAAGGGAGGACTCGTACGATATAGGTTGCAAGTGGCGCATATTACAGTATATCGTATATTCGTACGAAGCAATGCAATGGCTATAACATAGCGTATCTTTAACTTTTTAATTTCGTTTGGCCCGTCCCTGTTGATCATAGCAGATGAAACTATTTTTTTATGGATACCCTATTGTTACTCTGTCATCCTACAAAAAACGAAATTTTTCTGAGAGGGGCAGAATTTCAATGACGGCAGGCACCGCGTAGGCGGGTATCCGTACTTTGTCCAGCTAGATCCACGGGAGGACCAGAAGGACATGAGCGGCTATGAGCTGATGTTTCAACTGGATACCGATGACGATCATGACATTATGTGGGGTGACTCAGGTGTAGCAAATTTCTTCATTCATCCAGATGACTTGGAGAAAAGGGATTTTTCTAAAGCTGTTTTTCATTGGGACTGCAGTTAAGCTGCTGCCAGTGGCGTCCTCTGTGTGCTCCAGATTACGGTAAAAAAGTGATTATCGCTTTGAAATACTTTCAAATACAGCAACTTATTTTCCTGCGACATAGTTTTGTTGTATAAAGCTGTAAGTCTAGTATGCCGTTTTTGCTTTTCATTTAAGTTTAGCACCACACACAAAATGTTCATAATAACAAGAAAAGGAAAGTACGAATCATCAATCATTGCAACGTAACGGCAAAATGCAATTAAAAAAAAGCTTGGCTGTTTTGGAAACCAACCAAGAAACCCCGCATTTAAATAGTCCAAACTGAGATGCAAGGGCCATTAAATGTTATCGGCGTGTACCAGTAAGATGAAAATGCTTTTTTCAATTGATATCTCCTGCACTGTACCTTATGATTGCCAGTGTACTGGATAAGATAAGCGGCTGTAAACAGATTGTTTTTTTTTTATTTCCGAACGGTAAGATTTGAAATTTCACGCTCACATACTGTTGTTCTCTGGTTTGCGATATTCTCACCGACGTACACGTTGCACTTTTGCGGCAGAATTACTTAACTTGGCACTGGAGGCCATTCACTGTGGGTAGTTGTTACCATTTCGTGAGAGTGGAATAAACAGCTGCTTGAACAGTACTGTTCTACACAGAAGTTTTACTAAAAGTTGACTTACAAAAGTAGCGACAGCAACGAACATGAGCGCAGGCAGTACAGCATCAGCATAAATGATAAACATCCTAAACCAACTTTCAAAACTTTATGCAGATCAAATACAATGACCTACAAAACATACGTTTAAAAAGGCATAGATCCTCAACTGCAATCGTTTTCGCTCTCTCCAGCCTGGTATTATGTTGAGCATTCGCAGACATACCAATTAGGATTTACATAATCTAAATCTAAATTAGATTTATAACGTTCCGGGGCCTGTTCGAGTTTCAACTGGTTGAATGACAAGTACCGTACGATACAGTTCTCCATCGCCCATTTGGTTAGATCCGTCTTCGTTGCTAGATCATGACAAACATTCTTAAAAAAACAATATACCGTTAGCACGCGTCATTTTGACTAGCCGTAAAAATAAGCAGTTAAATAATCTTAAGTTTAAAAGGAAAACTGCCTTCGTTCATTTTTATGGTACATCTTCGCAATAATAAAATCTTTGCAATAATTCATTAGGATTTACGAGTAAACTCAGTAAAGATATATGTGTAAATTCCTTATAATTGGAACTACACCGTATTTGCTAAAAACATTGCCCATTTTTAAAGCGCATCGCAGTTGCATGCCGAATTATCAAAACCATAATCGTAGACCTGCACAATTAGTCAAGGTAGCGCCCCGGATTATGTCCGTGTTTCTCAGTGCGGCAGTCCAAGAATGGACTGCTTCGTTAAGGAAGCGCCGCATGCGATCATTACGCGTGTTACGGCTACCGTTGGAGCTCTTGAAAAAGATCATTGTTTTGCTTGATACAGCCCCTTCGTCAACGCTGTCGGCGCGCCCGTCGACTGTGGGGGGATATTATCAGTCGGAACTCCGTATCGACTGGCAGGAGTTTTGGCCGAACGCGATTTTTTGCGACTCCATTTTCATAACGTTTGACAGCCTCTCCAAGCACATAACTTACACCACGAGCACCATTTGTTTAGTAGACAGATATCGCCTGTGCTCAGCGGAAACACACCAAACCGAGCTTGATACCAAACTGCAAAATTTACCAATAACAGTACATATTTTATGTATTAGAAGCTTTAGAAGGCGCGTGATTCTTAGTTATACTCGCTGACAGTAACCGACGAACACGGATATAAAGTGGTCATCTCTCTAAGTTCATATTCATGTTTTTTACACATTCGTACTTAGCCATTAGGCACGACATTGCACGGAAGGCCGCCGAACGAGCAATACAGACAACAGGGTCGCAGCAACTCACGATCGACAAAATCAGTAAAGCAAAGTAGAGTACCATTGAGCCAAATCCAGCACAGTTTGACTGATCATGTTTGCTGACACATCATTACTAGAAAGTGCAAGTCGTCTCGCTGGTGGTAACGGGATCCAATTGTGCATCTGTGTTAGCATCAACGGACGGTCTACCATTAGGGGCAGTCCCGATGCCCTGGCCATAGGAGGTCACGCCCACATCCAGCGTGCAGGTGTCGCTCTGCACCACGGTGGGTGTCACGGTTATGGCGTAACACGGGTTACCATTGCTCGACAGTGTCACACCGCTGCCCAGCGCCGGCGTCTGGATGCCAATATTCCTGCATGCTGATGTGGCCGACGACGAACCGACCACTGTCTTCTCACTTACGGATTGCGACTGGTCGGGACCGATGTATGTCACTTCGAGTGTCTTCGTCGTGTAGGTCGTCTGCGTCGTAAGGACACACATGGTATTGACAACAGTTTGCAGGAGAGACGTTGAGATACTCAGGCAGGATGGCATGCAGACCGTGGGTGAGCAGGTCGTCAGCGTCTCGGTAATTCGTCGCCAGACGGTGCTGGCGTGACAGGCAGAGGGTGCTGTGGTCGTGGAACGGCTGGTCGGTGTTGGTTGGATGCACGAGCTCCGCGGAGTGTACACATGCTGCCCTCGCCAACGTGCCGGGCCGTTACCGGACCCGGGAGCGACGTGATAGGGTGCGGTCGCCGGTGTCCAATTTGGGACTTTCACCGGGGTATGCACTGACTGGGCCGCGTAACGCTCGCGGCTATTTAGTGATAGTCCTGGCTGGAGGAAATGATCCACCGCAGCATCACTGTACTGAACCGCTAAACGCCCCTGAGCGCTCTACAACGATAAACAGTGTGTCAGAATTTCAACAGCTTTGACGGTTAATTTGATTTAGATAGCCATCGGTCGGATTATCGCGCTAAGAAAACGTATTGAATGTTTCTTCGGGGCGGAGGCAGTACTTCCTCCGCTTGTGCTTCGGCAGACATTCCGCAACGTTCTAAATGTAATATGATCTGTTAAAATATCAGAAAGCTGTAGAGGAGAAAGGAACGGAGAAATATCTTTCAAAAAGGACAAGAAAATCTGTGGACCTATAGTCAGCAATAGCATAGCAGTGCATACTGTATGCGACAGTGAGGACGTAGTCGACCGTTGCACGGTCGGTTCCCAGTCCTTCTACATATAGTAAGTTCTTGATATAAGTTATAGCGCTACTGTACTATTGCAGGTTTTTCTTCAAGCTCTATGCGTCGACCCTGTCATCACATGTTGCAAGTGGTACAAAGTTTGGGCAGAGACATAATTATGTGCACGCGAGCGTGGCACGTTGGTATACTGCTCGTAATTTAGTCATGTATAAATTTAATAGCATTCAACATAATAATTGTAGCGGGAGTACGCAAAAATCTTGCAAGTCTAACGATAGAAATTTTAGAACAGTTAACTATGAATATCAATCTTTCATGCACGGTGGAACAGTAAAACAAAGTTCAAAAACATTCGAAAATCGAAATTTTAAAAGCTTACTTCGGAAACTGTGACGATAAGACTTGAAAAGATAATATTCCATGCATATTTGACCGGCAACATTTCACCAGATTTGGCAGTACCCACGGAATATCACAGGATAATAAACTAAAAGTAGCTACGTTTGGATCATCTGCTGTGCCTTCATCAGTTATCGAACGGCTTAACAGAACAAGTAATGGCGACCTCCTTCACTTTACGGGACAATCGATATTTTCAATCGTGGTGGCATAGGTCGTTTTTTGCTGGATTCACAGTAAGCTGCGATCTAATCGGTGGCAATGTTTTACCGACAGTTCACTCTACCGTACCTGTTCCGCAATAAGCCATGTTTAGTGCACATAATTTTAGTACTGGTATGCGAGGGGATGTCGGTAGCGCTTTTCAGCACTCCCTGTACTTGCTGCCGTCAGCCGGTTGGAGTTTGACGTTGTGGCTAAACATGGTGCTTATGTACCGCGCCAGAATTAGGCGTATGTCTTGCCGTAACGTTACGCTCAAGGCGGATGGCACCAGCAATACAGGGGATCACTGAAATGCGCTCTTCAGATAATTATTATCTCTGATTCTCTATATAATAATCGCGTAGGCCTTAATCTTTGTTGAGTCCGTCAGTTAGACGCACTGATCAAAACTTCTGTAACTATGCATCGTTCGATAGCCCTTAAAGTGTAGATTTGCCATCAGAAATCAGTTTTTGAAGAAAAAAAAAGGTTTGAAAGGATACTTTCAAAAACGTTAACATACAAAGTCTATGGGAAAAGCTAAGAACGCACCGCTGCTAAACCGACCACCCCATCACTGTCTCAACAGCCAACACGCTTTTTGGCAGTTTCGCTGCAGCTGGATGGAACTTAACGTTCCATAACAAATAATATTCCATCTTCTTAATGTACGTATGTTTATCATCAAAATTTAGTTTTGTGAAAAACAATAAAACGAAAGAAAGAAGACAAAATGACCGCGATGATTCTGCGACTGTGGGACGGTTCTAAACTCTAAAGTCTAATTTTAAGAACGTACCTGACCCCCCGCAGTGGTTTTGCTTAACTACGCTGTAATGTGCCTTCCCGGGAGGGCGCGATTGCCTTTATTGCAGAACTGCCTGCGTTTGGCAGCATTGGATTGCCTCTAAATTACGTACTCCTATATTTTCTCGTCACATGGTATTGTGTTATTGGCATTACTCCGAGTTCGAGCTTAGCAAAGTACAAAGATGCGCCTTTTAGTCAGTTCTCTAACAACAGGAAGATGTAAATTATTGTAGCCAAAAAACATACAAAACCACATACCACATACAAAATGTTTTTCATGATTTTGGGTTCTGCAATTGCCCCCGGATGATTAATTTCCCTCATCCGTGTATGATGGGTGGCTACGGGACCTAGTTCGAAGGATTTCTCCGGAATCCTTTCGGAGGCTGTCGTGGCAGCTTGTCCCGTAGTTATCAGGACCCCACCGTGCTGTACACTGTAAGTTCCTTTCTTTTGGGTTCCATACTCCTGATTCTGCCGTGAGGTTCTCACCCTAGAGCTGCAATGACGTGGACCTGCCCCGACTGTCAGGTTATCTGTAAGCGGCAAGGCAGTCATCTAGGCAGTGGGAACTGCCTCGACCGCCAAGCGCAGAGACTTGGGCGTGCAGTTGGTCCTCCGCAAGCCCAGAATCAAGCACACAGTTCCCCTTCGAATGCAGCTGGGATATCTCGCCCCCCCTTCATCTCAGCTAGGAGGAAAGTTATGCGGCGAATCCCGAAAGCAGCACGCGCCTCCGTTGCGATAACTCTGACAAAGCTAATGCGGAGCGCCGTATCTGCCAATGATTCCTCCTCTTGGCTGAAGCTGCTATCCGCACCCGCAGCGATTCTCTCCCTTCCAGGCGCTAATAAAAAGTCACGGAAAACCTCGATCACCACCCATATCCGTGACTAGATCGCCAAATTCGAGAACGGCGAACTCGTCGGGGAAGAATCCGCAGCTCATGGCAAGCCTCGGCACGCTACTCCCGATGACGAGATTACCCGCCGCGTGGGGATTCAAATTGACGATTTTAACGTCAGCGGAGCGGTACGTACCCTGCTTTCAACAGACTCTGTAGCTGAGCCCACTCCGACTGTGATAGAGTCCATGAAACTTAAGCATCCAGCAGCTCCGCTACCCACACTCCCCACCGATCCCACAGACGCTACTTTAGTCCCGCTTACTCCCGCTGAGGTTCTGTCCGTCCTAGAGGCGATGCCACGTGGCAGCGCAGGAGGTTTAGACTACCTGCGCCCACAACATTTGTTGGACCTAATCGGCGCTAAAATGGATGACGCCGCATCTGATTTGTGTGACGCCCTGACGGACCTGCACAATCTCGTCTTAGCTGGCAAAGTACCCAAGGATGTTATTCCCTTGCTCTGTGGCGCTCGACTCGTTGCCCTACGGAAAAAGGACGGAGGTCTGCGTCCAATTGCGTTGGAAATGTATACCGTCGCATTGCTGCCAAGGCGGTGGATATCCGAATTCGGACAGTAACATTGGAGATTCTCCAACCGCACCAACTTGGCTCAGGAGTGAAGAGGGGAGTTGAAGGAATTATTCACGGAACCAGAGACTTTCTCCTTCAATACAGCAGTGACGTTAAGGCCCTTCTCAAAATTGATTTCACCAACGCTTTTAACTGCGTGTCACGCGAAGAAGTACTCCGGATAACAGCCGACATCATCCCGGAATACTATGCCTTTATAAAAATGTGTTACGGTGCACATTCCTCACTATTCCTAGGAGATGCAGTCATTTCCTCTCAGTCTGGCGTGCAACAAGGGGATCCTCTCGGACCAGTTTTGTTTTGCTTGGTACTGCAGTTTATTGTCAACAAACTGAACACTTACCTGAACGCGTGGTATATGGATGATGGTACGCTAAGAGGATCGCCATCGGAAGTGATTCGTAATTTCCTGCTGCTGAGAGAGGAAGCCAGAACGATTGGCCTGGAAGTAAATATTGCGAAGTGCGAAGTTTTTTTGTGCGGTGGCACGGAAGCACAGCGTACATCGGCCGCTTACGACTTCACCAATTTGTTCCCTGGGATAGCCATTGTATCAGCCGATAAACTGAACTTGCTCGGCTCCCCTCTTCTACCAGCCGCCGTCATCCCGATGAGCAACGAGAAAATCAGCCAGCTCGGTGTTATGTGCGGCCGCTTGCAGCTAATTCCTAAACACCAAGCGCTATTCCTGTTGAAGAATTGCCTAGGAGTGCCGAAAATTGTTCACATATTGCGCACCTCTCTCGCATGGATGTTTCCACAAGAGCTATACAGACTCGACCAGGTATTTCGCGAGGCGGTCGAAACAATTACCAATGTTAGGATGGACCACCCAACATGGCTCCAGGCGTCCCTTCCTGTTCGTTTCGGTGGTTTGGGAATCAGACGCACCGAGAAGCTAGCTTCCTCTGCCTACTTGGCATCGGCTTCTTCGTTGCACCAACTAATTCCCAGATTATGCCCGACACTGACAGCAACGGATGTCACCACCGCCACGCGAGCCTGGAAGTTAGAGGCCGACACTGACGAACTTCCGACGGAGTCTTTCCGACACGTCCAGAAAGCTTGGGACATCCCTACAACCCTGCAGACATTTTCGAGGCTAACCGCACTACGGACTTCACAGGAAGAAGTCGCGCATCTCAAGGCGGTATCAGTCCCGGAAGCAGGCGTGTGGATCCATGCATTACCGGCTGCTTGCCTCGGTAATCTGTTGGAAGACAACACTTTTCGCATAAGTGTTGCGCTACGTCTGGGAGCACCGATCGTTACTCCACATGTGTGCGTTTGTGGTGGGCTGGTCGACGAGCTGGGCCGGCACGGACTTCGCTGTAAGCGGTCTGCCGGAAGACTTCCACGACATGACGGAATCAGCGCGGAATTCACTCGAGGCTTGAAGTCAGCCGGTTTCCCTTCGAGAATGGAGCCAAAAGGTCTATCCGTGAAAGATAAGAAAAGGCCAGATGTGATCACCCTTATTCCGTGGAAGCGCGGAAAACCGTTGGCGGTGGATGTTACCTGTGTGGACACGCTGGCGGCCTCATATATCGACCGCACTTCCGTAAATGTCGGCGCGGCAGCCGAACTCGCGGAAAGGGGAAAGCTAGCGAAGCATGCCTGGCTGCAACCAAGGTACGATTTCGTTGCTGCAGCCATCGAAATTTACGGACCTTATGGGGACGGAACTAAAAAGCTAGTGGAAATGGTTGGAAACGGTATTGCGACTTCCACTGGCCAGAAGCGGGCGAAAGAGTTTTTTAAGCAGCGAATATCCATGCAAATACAACGGGGAAACGCTATTTGTGTAATGGGTACGATCCCCGATCAAGATAGCATAGAGGAAGTGTTTCTGTTATAAATGCTGTTTCGTTTTGGTACATAGTTTGTACTCGTATCATGATACTTATTAAAGGTCGTACAGGACCTGCGTTTTGAGGCAAGTTTGCTATTTTTCTCTTCAATAGATAAGGCAAGGTGGTGTTCGAGAAAGCCAATTGTTAAACGGGGCAACTTGGAATATTTAAGATTGGCTTCAAAGAAAAGCAAGCTGTTTGCTTCGCATGTTACGTGGTGTTTGGATTAAAGAACGTCTGATATACCCGATAAATATTATTGCAAATCCAGCTTCTGTACAAGCTAAATCAGGTTCTGTTTAAAAACGGGTGGGGTGGAATTGAATGTGTCGCGCGACGCGAACTGCAATATATAAGGTCGAATGCTGCATTCTTAAGTAAAAAAGAACAAATCAGTTTTTCAGTTAGCTATATAGCATACTGGAAGGCGGGGTCGCAGGCGACGCCGAGCTGCGGCGCTCGCGGAGCAGCTAGTTAAGCATGCAAGAATTTCGCGTAAGACTTCTTGTTTTTCAAAAAGTGTTAAAAGCGAAGAAGGAAACACAATCAAATGCTTCTGTTCTTATTTACTTAAACGAAATGGCTATTCGCCCGGGACTCCGGGCGAGAAGCCAAACGGCTATTCGCCCGGGACTCCCGGGCGAGTAGCCGCCACCTTAATTAAAAGTGTTTGGATGTGTTCTGTGGTCAAAGCAATAGTAAAAAAGAACAGCGATAGGAAGTAGTGCAGTTGCTGTTAGTGCTAATTGTTGGCTGGGATATAAAGGGCATCAGTGACCAGTGGTGTTTGTATTGAAATAGGGATAGGGATTTCAAATACAGGTAAACTGTTATCGGATAG